CGGTCCGCGGACTGGAGGACGGACCTCGCCAGTACCCCGCACGACTCCGGATTCAGTACTCCGGGCGGGTACTTGACGATATAGGCCGCCAAGACCGTCACAATATGGTGCTTTGTGCTTAGTAATTTAGTGGAGTTTGTCTTCACTATCGCTATGATTCGTGTTTAAGGTTGTGGTTCGCAGGCAGTTCTTTGAGAAAGATCCATCTCGGGAGGACGTGAGCAGACAGAGAATTTAAAACAAAGTACCATTCGTGAGAGTCCATGTCCCTCTCCTCTTCGAGGAAGAAATTTATAAACGAGAACGACATACGTATTTGCTATTTCACCATCTCCTGTAGCTTTTTATATAATACCTTACTCATTCAAATTCATGCGCATCGTGTCATGACAAGACGGAGGTGAAGTTCATCTGTTTGGAAATGCCGAAGTGGATGGGGAAAAAAAAGCCGGATCGCTTCCTTCCTAATTCCAATTTAATATTACCACTGCGTAGGCCCAGATATATCGTTGGATTGGAATCTGTGAGACTGCTTGGAATGTAGCTTCTACTTGATCCACTCCATGAAAACACTTTTCAGATGAATCAAGAGTGTGAAGCAAACAAGGGGCGAGAGATTCGATATATCCGTATGCCCGTGCTCTTCTTGTCAGATTGATCGGAATTACCTGTACATTTTGACTCAACGCACTTGGCAGCCTACGTTTCCTCACGACAATCGGTCGCAAGTATGATCAAGTGTAAGAAACTTTCGTAGTGTACAGTATTCGTCGTCGCATATATTCATAGTCGAAATATCATTTCCGTTACGAAATCTAGAGTAATGCGGAGTCCCTCATCACGGCACGCCGATTGGAACACCGTAATGGGGTCCAGAGTCTGGTCCCCAAGAACACTTCAGAGAACATGATGAAATTTGTTACCGGCGCCGAAAGTAATTGCGAAGCGTTTCTCATAGCAGCCATAGTGCAGATGTACTTTTGACAGAAAACGAAATTATGGGCTATTGCTCGAAGGTAATCCATGATCCAATCTAATTACCTGTCGAAAGACAACATATTCTAACCTTTCTCGCTGAGGACGAAGCCGAAGGTATCCCAGGCGATAAGCACTGCCCTACATCTGCAAAGTCACTGCAGTCTGTCACGATTGAATGGGGCCAATCATAGGTTTCCACATTGGCGGTCATATTATTACGTTCCAAATAAGAGATTATATATTTTTTCTCACTTTATGAATCTGTTTTTAATTTTTATACGAGGGACAACCTCAGCAGTCCTTCCTCCAGGTCAAAACAAATAATACTGAAGTGAACTACATGTGAACGGAATTGAATATACGGGATGGCTCATGATGCAGAAGCTCATTTTATTGCAAAAATTCCTGCTTCCTTTCCGAGAAAATCCATAGGAAGTTGTTCCCTGTTGAAAGTAAGGGCGTCGCCGCAGGGGGATAGGAAGACATCCCTTCTCCTCTTCGATCTTCGTATTATCCAGGAAATGCCCCCAAAAGAGGAGTGTGTTATATCAGCTTCGTGGAAATCCACTGCGGGCTCGAAACTCATTTCTGCAAGCATTATCTTGTCAAATTTCGTCTAAAAAAATTATTTAGAAAACTTTCGGGAAAGCAACCGTCGATAGCCGATCTTCGACCTTAGCGACCCACTTCTCGCTCGCGATCGCAGGAAGGGGAATTCACGATGAAGAAACAATGCGTCATCCAACGCTTTCACCAATGCTTCCCCATCTTTCCTTCTTTTGCTGAATAAGTCTGACAGCCCCGAGATTTCGTCACCCAACTGAGAAAACTAAAGAATGGCTCGTGGCGGAATGTGCGAACTGGGTGGCAGACGCACTCGCCGCGCAATGAAAATGAAGACATACGGGAGTCATCCAACGCCATATGTATGTGGGACAAAAGCCAAAAAAAACCATACCCAAAAATGAAAATAATCTCATGAACAATCTCAATGGGAACAGCCGCAACATACCCAACCATAATAAGAGTGCAATACATTTTTGAAAGATATCTTTGGTATGATGAAATCCACATAAGCATGGATTCAAGATGCGTCAGTTCGAAATATGAAAGAGAATTATGTGAAATAGAAAAGCGGATTTGTCCCTCCCCGAATGATATGAGCAAGATTTCGTGCCTTTTTGGCACCAGGCTTTATTTACCTTCCTCTCCCACCATGAATTTCTCTCCATTTGATAAAAAAAAAAGCAGGTTTAAATAATGCTCCACTTAAATCGGCTATGATGCTATTGTCTTTCTTTTACTCTGGTCAGTCTATGTGCCTCACATCTGGGTTTGGAGTCATATAACCACCATAGACAGGAAGGCAGGCTCGGAATTTGATAGCCAGAAATGAAAACTTCCGGTTCGCGTCTTTCCACTCCCCTGAAGAGTGGATGAATTCTCAAAGCTAGCCAATTGTTTTCATGCCAATTTTGCCTGGCTAACAGAAACCGTTCCTGTTTTGGCCTTTTGCTGAAAGCTCTCGCCTCCCATCAAGTCAGGGTGATGCAATGTGCATATTGTGGCTATTAGACTCGTCCTCCTCACGTACTCCTCAGGAAGATGCATGCAATCGACAAAAAGGAAAAAAAATTTTCTGCGCCGACAATGAAAACAATACGATTGCCTTTTTGAATCAATGGGAGGCATTCCATGGATACTGAAAAGCGTGTATGAATGCGACAACAAATCGAAGAAAGAGGTTTGAATGCAGAACAAAATTTTGTGAATTGCAATGGGCTCGGGCGTCAGGCTGATATGCCTTGGACATCAAAATGAAGAAGTAGCTAGTGTGACCATTTCGATACTAAGTCCCTCAAGTCCTTCTGCGACATCAACCTCCCGATGTCCAATACTATATAAGATGACGAAAGCAAGAGCAAGGAATCCTGTTCCAAGAAGATCACCGAGAGCGGTCAAAAGCGGGCTGGCAGAATTATCTGGATCGATCCCTTTACGCCACATCGCATGCAACATCACGTGACCTATGTACATCAAGATTGCAACCTGCAAAATCAACGAAAAAATGTAGATCCACATAATTTCCTTGAAGACTGTTTGTCGGTTGAAAACGAACTCAATTCCAACGAGAATTGTATCAGGCAAGCGCTGGTTTACCTGTAGAAAAGCAGCAGAGAGGTAGAAGACCATGAACAGAGGGGTGACGGTCGCATGACCAGACTTCATCAGAGCGATCGCCAGTGCAAAAAGGAAATGACCAGGGAGAAGGATTGCCAGGAGGACACGCACTGTCTTCGCATGAACGTCTGTCAAAAAACGACTTGCGACAATCAGATGGGTAAAAAATGAAAAAAATGCAATGGTTATCCTCATGCAATGCCTTCTGGACATCCGCTGGATGTCCAAAGATTTTCGCGGCTCTAATTTGAATGCAGGTAAGTATCCTTCGTGCGAAAAATGTCATCCTGTGATTTAAAAAAAATATTATTTATGCATACAAGCAAAAACCTACGCAACGTTTTCCCGCACTATAGGTCCTCATAGTTCACACTCGTAGCGCATATCCACTTCGATCTCTAGGGGATCATTCCTCTTAGACCCAAAGGCTCTAGGTAGTATCCTAATCACATTCATTGCTACTCATAGCCAAACGCGTTGCATTTCTGCTTTTCATAGCAGCTCCAGCAGTCAGGTGATGATGTCGACTTCTTTGCTTGTCCTCAATGCAATTAATGTATTTCTTCAAATGTATTTGCCTTGTGTTTTTGGTTTCAAGTTACTTAGCATGTTCAAATATATTTCACTCGTATCTGAAAAACCTGGGGTTGTTTCTTAGAAGTGGCCACATTACCCCTAACGCCTCGCCATATTTCCCCAACAATAGTGGTAATATGACCTCCCGGGGTTCAACTTGGAAAGGACCCAAATGCCCACTATACATGTGGTTTTCTTTTGCATTTGCCTTGCCGGGGTTGGGTGAAGGAGATATACTCCCTTACAAAAAATGAGTACCATGAGTGAGAATGGAACTGTGTTAACATAGATTAGCCTATTTTGACGCCCATGGGTTAACCTTGGTTAACCCATGTTGTCCCATTTTAACTTATGTTAACCTATAGGTTAACCTGTGGTACATTTTTGTGAGGGCACGTATATACATATTTTCCAAATATTCAAATAGTCAAATTCGAACTTAATGGACAATTCAGACCACATATATCTTTTTAGGGCTATATTCTCCCAAATTACTCAATATATTGGGAATGCGCCTGAGTTTAGGAGCTGACTGGTACCGCTCAGGAAAAGAGATATGAAATGATGAACTCACCGGATCCAAAATAGACGCCAAAGGGATTGAAGCACCACTTTCTGAGATCAATCGGAAGTTGGCCGCGTTCGAAATGCCGATGAAAGTACGTGGATATGCGGCTGGATTGAACGCCCGCCAGATTTCCCCCGATTCCATTGATTACCGGCTGGAACACGGCTATCCCTCTGTAATGTTCTAATGCTTGCTCGAGGATCAGACCGCCACCGCTGATTAATGAATGTGAAAAACAAGCAGGGATGCAATACGACCGCGACTCCTTCGTCATGGATGAAGTAAGGAATCGGGAAGAAGAAACAAGCCTACCTCGAGAGAATCATGGCAGTAATGACTGGTATCCAGCCAGTACGAAGAACAATTTTTGTGTGTTTGTTCTGTGCTGCCAGGTATGCCCACAACGGAATCGTCAAAATGAGAATTCCTGCTGCCAATGGGCGCACCCACCAGAATTTTACTACGAAAGACACATCATGATTCCAAGAATGTATGCATGCAGATATGCAGCTTCATGCAACAGGACTCACTCTCAATGCAGATTGTGCCTTAATTTTAACGTGGAACTGCTCAGGATCGCCTGTGAATACTGTTCTGAGACTTTCAAGCAAAGAAAATGAGTGAGAAATTATATCCCACCAAGACTGCAAATGCCGAACAAACAAGACTCAATTCATCCAAGTTTCCCTGTGGTACTACATTTTACAAAGCACTCAAATCCTTCAGATTTATATGGATCTGTAAATATGGGAGCTTATTTTTTATTGCAGGAAAATCTGCAACTTCGTGATCATGTGGTGAATTATGCTAAGGACTTTGCATCAGTCCGATAGTAACACTTGCGATGTTTAAGATATTTCATTGTCTCGCTGTGTAAGCAGGAATTATAAGGGAAATATATGTTCAAGCATAATTATTGGAATCCAATATTTTGGAATAAATTTTTCGATGAATTCACCCCTGGATTCATAGCGCAAAATAATTTGTTTCATTCGAAACAGGTAGTGAAATGATAGATTTCTCTGCGAAAAAGAAAAATCAGTTTTAAACAACAAGAATTGTTGCAATATTTGCGAAGACTCAATAACCTGTGAATGAACAAAGAAATAAAAAATTACCTCCGTAGAAGAAAGTGGCAAATCCTGAGAGGAGTGAAAGACACACCAGATCCCCCAGACTACCAGCGATGGGTGTTGCGATGTTGTCGGGATTGACACCGTAGATTCGAGACACGTTCACCACCGTGATCACCACCACGCCTGTCATAGTGAAAATAAATCAATATCAATGTCTGAAATATGATGCGATGCTGTAGCAGTGCCTAAATTGGGACTGCGGTATATCTTTCATGAAAGAATCTCCTCACCAAGAACCATGCTGGCAAGAGATGCTGTAAGAATGGCACTGGCAGCCAGAAGAAAGGAATTATGCAGGTCGAAACGTCCATCTGTGATCAATGCCAATATCACTGCTGCCACGGCTGCAAGCGTACCCACCACGATAGCTTGGCACTGATATAAGGAACGAAACGGCAAATTACACGCAATCGATCAATCCACATTATAAAGCCGACAACAATAAAAGAGACAGACCTGGACGAGGGCCAGGTTACACAAAGCCATCTTCATCCGGTCCTTGCTGGAATCCAGGTTTCCCAAGTTGGCATGAGTAGAAAGACGAGAGGCCAGAGTCATTTCGAGATTGCCCTTCAAGCCCAACAAAGCTGGCACCATGATAAACAGTTCTGGTACGTTCACAAATGCTTCCCAATGCTAGTGGAATGAACGTATAGCAATTGTAAAAAAAAATATACTTCATTTAGAAGGCTCAAAGTTGCCCATTCCTTTTATTTATATCTTTACAGACCTGCACGATGTCAAGTAGCATTCCAGCTCCAACCATACCGAGGCCAGCGATTAGAAACGGAAGGCACACTTGCTTGGCGATTGAGAAAAAGGTCTCCTCCTGCTGTTCACCCTAAATGAGAAAAAGCCATACTCCAGATTAGTCCTCGTGTCAATGTTAGAGTCCTTCCCCTCAGAGTCTGAGCTCTTGAGAGGAACTTCCTGTGCTGACATGGTGCTACTAATGTAAGGAGCATGCTGATCGGCTGGGGCAAGAGAATGCACTCAGTTGTAGAAGATGAAGTCTGAAGGTATTTATTTTGAAATTGAAGTCGGTTGAAACTCGGCGGCTGAATAGGTCAATAGGTCAATGTGGAATCCCTCTGGTCCATGATCGCTCTCCGGTCGTGGCGAAATATGTCCGATGCTCGAGGAAGGAGTTGCTGGGGGGATGTTAACTTCCTCCTGCAGGGGGTCATACTCGAAGTCCTTGGAATGGGCTGCAGAGTTGAGTGTCTGGAGGCTGTCTTTGGAGGAGATGCAACAGAAGTCTAGAGGTGAATTTCTCCTCTTTCTGAGGAGAGGTGATCTGTTTCTCAAATGGTCAGTTCTCAAATTATCAGTCTCCCCAAGTTTTTTGGTTCCATAAACTTCTAGGAGCTCTAGGATACCTCGGGTTTCTATAGGCTTATATAGTGTGTTACATGGTTTTTTCCTACACATGCGCGCGAAGGAGCGTCCCAAATCCGGCTGTCTCAACTGCGACATGGTTCTCCCGATATAGTTTTTTGCAGGCATATACAGGTATACAAGGTGTTTCAAAACAATCACCATTTATAAATACAGGTTACTAATCGAAAAACTGATGAAAAGATTTTGCTATTTTTCTAATTTAAAGGCATTGAGGGAGTTTCATTGACCACACCAATGCCTGTAAATGATTTGGAACAAAGAAATTTAGATTTGAAGTGTTGGCATCAGTATGGCCAAATACTGGGTGTTTTAAAACAATTGTCCCATTCATGAAAATGTTTTATTCAACGGTTAACGATGCTCTACACATGACACATGCCTTTCTTCAAAGTAGAACCATCGGAGATTGTATTGAATTATATCAAATGACACCTAGAAGGAATCGGTCCGGCCATAGCAAAAGCTCTTTTTACGACGTTAGACCTGGCTCTTGGGAGCACATATGCAGGAATATCATACAAAACCCTTGTGATGCGATCCTTTGGGTCATGCACGTGTCAAGAGGTGGGCTGAAGATTACGGATTCAAATTTACAGCGAAAAATCGGTAATTCAATATTACTGACTGCTTGTCGATTTTTTTTGTAACAAGAGGATGTTATTCGTTCAAATGTCTACGATATTCCTGTTCGGCGGCCACTATTTGTCCATACTGATGAAGCCCCTTCAAAATTAACTTTCTTTGTTCCAAATCATTTACAGGCATTGTTGTTATGGCCTACAAAACTCCCATTTAGCAATTCTAAATTAGTAAAAGAACACATTGTATCATTAGTCTTTCAATTATTAAAATACATTCATAAAGTGGGATATTGTTTTGAAACTTCCAGTGCAATGATTTCCTCGCATATTGAACTTTCCTTTGCATGGAAGCCAACCATCAACTGCTTTGCTCCCTTATCCTAGTGGAAGTGTCTACATTGAAATTGAGGCATCCAGTCAGGCAGCAAGAAAGGGATGCCATAATATGCTAGCTGTATCCCATGTATCAACCATCAGGACATGTTCAGACATATTTAATGTGCTTTAGACAATAAACGTTGTCAACGACGTCGAAGACATTTCTACCTTCTATGTTTGGAAAGTTCGGAGCTTCTAAATAATTGTATGTAGTTATGGCTGCACAAAGGTTACTTCCAATCATTATTAATACGAGCACGATTTCCTTGGATATAGTAAGATTAATGAAATGCGGCTTTGTATTTGTAGCTCTCTTATTCAACTTGGTAGGACCTGAGAGAAAAAGTGCAAACTTCTCGTAAAGCAGTATTGAGTAATTATATATATTGCCAAAATATCGAGGCATTTTGAACCAGTCTAAAATAATGCGTGCAGCGAAAACTCTTCTTTTGGGCACAATTTCTGAGTGACATGTTTAAGATTGTGTTTTAGCGGGGAAAATGTGACTATTATTCTATTTGCATCCAGAATCACGTCATTACATCATTTGTGCAGAGGGTTGGATGCACTTGGTCCACAATGATCTGTTCAATGACTAAGGAGGCTCAAATGTTGAAAGATACTTTCTAGAACATGGTTGATATTGTCTATTCTTTCTCATGCATGAACATTGAGTGAGAACACCTCGCAACTTTCTTGCATAGAAAACCATTCGAATTGCATTCGATTTCAATCCATAGGATGAAATTAAGATATTAACGTGATTCACCTATCTCGTGACCGTAGTCAACAGGTAACAACCGGTTAAGAAAAAACAAGGAAATTGTTGTGATGTTCTCACAGTCATGGGATGATGCTCCATTTTGAATAACGCTAATGACAGCACGCGTAACAGTAAAAGACAAGTCGATTGCATGCATGCATTCACAGCCAGAAGTTATTACTAAACCTCTAGTTGCAATCTGTCATTATTCAAGATGATAGGAAACACAGAGGAAAAAGTAAACGAAGGGTAGTTGAACTACAAAGGGGCAAGTGTCGCTTTCAGAGGCCCTATGCCAGCATTGGAAACTGAGAAGGAAATTGGCGAATACTAGAAAAATGGGTGATCCGCTATCGAAAAGTCTGGCTAAATAGCTACAAAGGTTAAGCGAAGAGAAGAGCATCACATCAGAGAGCGTCTAAAAAAATCATGAAATGTAAATATAAATTAAGCGTATAAAAGCTTATCGTCCCAACTTCTGGCAGTCGAAGCCCTATGCTTAAAAATTGAAATTTCCAAAATACAGCAAGCGGAAGGCGCTGGTTGAGTTATGCAATTGGAGGGTTATTCAAATTCATCTACGATTACGGTGATAGGAAAATCAGAATTATGCAACTCCTGCTAATTTGTAAGCGTGGAAATGCCCATCTCCAACATGAACCTTGTAGAAACTGAATAGCTTCCTCGAAGGCCGGATGGCTAACTGGCACGAAACTGAAACACTCACAGCCTTTGACCTCCCCATGAAATAAAAGGGGCGCAGTCTGGGGCGGCTGCCTTCCGCACCGGCAAGGGATCCCCTTCCCTTGCCGATGCCCGCTGCTTCCCAGGTTGCTCTTTTCAAGCGTGCCTGATCACAGCGGCATGGCTCGCGCCCTGTGGGAACTTCCGTCATGAAGCCTCTTATGAATGTAAATTAGGGTCCGAAGAATCGGCCAGACGAGGATGGAGGCTCCCATCAGGATACACCCACGGCACTTACCATGGCCTGACTGTACATTGAGCCATCCCGATGGGACGACCGGCCGGTGACCCAGTCAATAGCGACCACGAGACTCCTTCAGAATTACGCAAGAAATTTCACAAAAATGTCAACGTTGAATTTCACAATCGAAAGCGAAACCGTGTGACGATTTGATGAATATGCGTAATTCAGAGTCTCACCCCCTTACAGGGGCCAAAGGGCTTTCGCCCAGAGGTAGCCGACGGTCTCAGCCAGGTCCGCCGTATGCTGACGGATACTCGCTTTTGACCGTTTTCACCAGCCTTGCCTGTTCACAGAGCAATAAAAAAAAGGACCCAAAAGTAAAAAAAAAGCATTGGGTCCAAAAAGCTCTGCTAGGTGGGAGCTGTCGCCCCCCTACCACGCACCGACCAAACCCCATCGCTTCGCGTCCACCCGACACCGAACCGATGAGGTCGACCGACGCGCCGACTAGACGGTACCACGGTAGGACGTCCGTTCGCCCTTCGATAGGCACGGGGGCCTTCGGCATCTCCCCTGCGCTATAGCGTAAAGTTTAGCGTGCCCCCGGGCCCTCACGAGCCCACCGCCGCCTGTTGCCTACAGCCTTTAGGGACCCCATCCCCCTAGAGCTATTGGCATTACACGCAATCACACGACACTCCTGCACCTCACGTGCCAGATGCATTTGCGGCCGAGAGCATGCTATCCAGCTCTTAGCACGGTTTTAAAATGTTTTGTCGTAAATGATCTCATTCAAAACCAAGAGAGGCGAGTCGGCCGAAATAATCTTAGTTACTCTTCATTATATTGGTTACATTCGGCATTCCATTGGAGAATTAAGTATTCTTTCTTCTTCTAGTTGGGTCAGGACCTTTCAATCCGAGGGAGGGTGGAATAATGAATGCTTTTTTTTACGAACATGCACAGGAAAACTACCAGTTGCTATGGATGGGGTTAGTCCAAATCAGTTTCCACTACGCGTCGATGAAAAAGGAGGCAGATCGTGGACGCAATGCCAGTTGACGACGCAAAGGGCATTGCTCCGTTCTCATCGAGGCGCCAATCGGACAAATGGTTATTGTGTATTTTGCAAGCTCGGAGAAGCTCAACGAGACACGCGACAGTTCACAACTGCTTTCCTTTTTAAAGGTGTCGTTAGCTTCTTTCGCGTTCTGCAATATTTGTACCGTTCGCTTTAAATCCAAGTGAGCATTCAGAGTTGCTAACTCCATCTACGTCTCCTGGTGTTTCGCTAATGTGTGAGACCGCGATCCCCGTAACGAGGCAAAACAGGCTGCATCGTGTCACAAAATGTCCACTGAGAATTTGAGTCCATCGGAGTTGGTTGCAGGGAGCCTCGACTGCTCGCTGGACTTTGACCCACGATGCTGCTATGCGATCTGGGATCCAGGGTCGTTGCAAAATCGTATATCATACGTATTCGTCCCAGAACCACTAATCGTGACGTAAACGCAAGTTTATCTCTATTTACCCCCCGAGTCAACGGACACGCGCACTGACTTCGAGAAGAAAAATCCTCGGATCTTCAAATTCTTGCTTTATATAGTCTCTGGAGATGTACTTTTCAGTTCGACTATTCACAAGAGAAAATTCGTTTCATCTCGAAACTGAAGAAAAAAAATGGAACGAAATCGTCATATTTCCTAATTAATTCCTCTTCGCGAAGCCTCATGCACCTTTACCGGATGACGATTTCGAAACGACGTGACCGTTTGCATACGAAATTTGGTCACGAGTTTCGCGCCGCATTCTGCATTGCCGCATTACATTCTTGTCGCGCACATTACATTCCTCAGAAAGATTGGGTTTTTACAATCCCTTATCAGGCCTCCACGTCGTGGTCCCCCTCATTTTATTGCTTGTGGACCGCATGCATCCGAGGGCTTTCCACTGGATTTTCCTCGTACGTCTGTCTATTGGCACTGAATGCCGTGTGGCTCGACGCATGCCATTTGGCGCGCATCGAATTGGGTCTGATGGTACTTCTGGTACTTCGAACTTTGTCGTGATCTGGGGCTTATTTCACTCATTGAGGTTTGCGGTGAAATATTCAGTTAGCATGGAACAAATTCCCCTATTTTTTGTTTAAGATGATTTTTTCCATCTCCACTTCCAAAAATGCCCTCTTAAAGGAATAGTTGATATGTTTGATGCTGATTGTTGATGCTATTGATGCTGACTACTCGGAAAATATGCGCAAGTGGCAACTTCGGCAGCCAGAGTTTCAACTAAAATTCCCATTCATAAAAGAGCGAACGAAGACGAACCAAAAGCGACGAGAGAACTTTCTCCATTGCCAGGAAATGCTCAACCAAACCCGAAATAAAAGTTATTTTGGACGAGATAAGATTTATTTTGATCGTAGAAACGTCTTGTCGTCATCCCCGGTTCACAGGGCATCGCTCTGACCCCGATACCAAAAAAGTACCGGGAGATCGCAGATGTCCCTGCCAGATCCCAGTTTTCTCATATATTTCCTCTAGACAGGTTTATTGACCGTCGGTCGTAAAGCGATTAACTTGACCTTCCGCTGTGGAAGGTCATAAGCTTAACCATATATCATGGTGCTATCGTATGCGAGACGTGTCAGGGTTGCAATATTTTGCTGAAGATACGGCATTTAAGCTCATAAACCTCACGTGGCATTTTGTACAGACCAAATAAGTCTCTCTGCGTGTGAAAGGCACGTTGAAATTTTCATTTCAAAACCATCTTACGCTTTCAATTCGTGCTCACATTACTGAACGACTACCGTGTACCTTGTAATATGGAGACACGCGGTTGAGCGAGCATGAGGAAAATCTCTGACAGTGTGACACTTAGTGACACTAAGTGACACTAAGTGACACTTAGTGACACTAAGTATAAGTAATGCGTTGCATGAGATGATTATGGTGACCTCAAAGGTAAGGAGTTACGTTATATAAGTTAGTAATGGAATACAATTTAAGATTAATATTACCGAGCTATTACTACTTGCATTTCTTGACGTCACTGAAGTACCTTTCAGTGCTGAAAATGCTGGTTATCAACTGCAGCACCTTCCCACCAGCATTGAGTCTTTGCAACCAGAAATGCTTGCAATTGTAACTACAAGCTTTTCACACGTGACGTTCCTAACGTTGCTTAGAGGTATCTGAGACCTTTGACGTGGCGTTACGTATAGGAGCTCGACTTCGATATGCTTTTGATTGTGACTTTTCCCAAAGAGAAGGAAAGGCAAGGAAGAAAGGCACAGAAAGGCACAGAAAGGCAAGCTTTACATTGTGCTCAGGTGGCGTCTCTTCAATATATTTCGATGGAATGCTAAAAAGTTGCAGAGATACAGATTGCATTTTGGGATCGCTTCTGGGATAATTTCCAAGGCGACTTTTAAGATCTGGCAAAAATACGAAAATGCGGCCAAACAAGAAAGCGGACCTCTTTCGGACTCGGAAGCCAGAGCACACAGAAAAAGCAATTTGGCGTCCTCAGAAACCCCACGCCCTTGCAAGTTATCAGTTATGTAATGCGGCTGTCGTCTGTGTTTTCCCCGTCCTGGTACCGGCGTCATCCCGTGTCACGCCTTTATCGATCGTTTCTCCCCTAGTTCTTATCTCTTCTGAGTTCTTGCGGTTTTTTCTCTTCGGTGGCCAGAGAAGCAGCTAGACAAGAAGCGATGGTATTTTCTCTCTACCAGCGTTGACATTCCGGATCCCTTGTCGAACACCCTCCTAAGACAGATCGATTCCTTCAAGACTGATATTTTTTATGGGGACATGTCCCGGTTGCTTCAGGCCATATTGCTCCATTTTACCTTTTACGTGATGATGGATAATCTCTTCCTGAAACCATGGAAGGGGTAGCCGCTACACCTTTGCCTAATTCATTCCAAGTAATCACTACTCCACTAGCAAAAAAAAAAATCCATTCCGCAACTTGAGTCTCATTCGAAGCTTACTTGAAACCCCATCGTTTTGCAAGTAATGTGATCCTACCAGCTAATGATCCGCATGGATTAATAAAAATCTGGCATGATACATATGGTGCGAAATAGACACATAAGGCATCTATAAAACTACTGGAAAATTTAGAAAGCTTTGTTTCCAGATGATCC